AGCAGAACAGGCAGATCGACGAAGTACACTGCTGAGGGGAGCAGCGGGCGGGTCAGGAGAGGTCTGCCTCGCTATGTGGATCTCTTCCGGGGCAGGCAGGAATCGAACTCATGCGGAAGTGGTTTCAGCTTCTTAGTGCAGTGCTTTAACCCGTTGCGCCACCAGGGAGGGCCCATAAGCACTTCTTAATAGAGAAGATTCATGAGAATCTTTTCCCCTTACCCACAGGGCAAAAGTTGGATTGTTAAAAGAAGTTATGAAGATTTTCGGGTACTTGATAAACACCTTCATCTGTGTATTTATGACCGACGATTCTCTCAACTCTCAGAGCTTCCCCGTTCTGATGCCCTGAAGGACGGTCCAGAGGTAAGCAATTAGTACCTACAGAAGTAGACAGAGCATTTAAATTAGTGGAAATTTTGCCCATATACTAATTAAAAGCTTTCATTAAACACTCAGGATGATTCTTCAGATTATTTAACTGTTTCATAACTGGAAAATTAGTAATGCTGTGTAGGTTGTTCAAAAGTAAAGTAGGTTCAATACATAATTTTATAAATCTGCATATCATGATGTATAAGTGGGTAATATTTGAGGGGAGAGCATTCTTCAAAGAGAATGTAAGATGAAAAATGTAGATGTCACTTAATCAAAGAAATACATTTTGAAAAAATGCTGTTTGCTTATTTTATGACAGACTCTGTTTATACACTTATATTTCCACTCCTGCCAAAAATTTCTAGGGAAAATATGAGAAGAACCTTAAAATTTTTAAAGAGGTTGTATATAACATCAGAAAATAGAAAGAACCTCCAGGAAATGAAAATTTGTGAGATACGTTTGAAAGTAGATGGGATAAGGATTTTGGGGTTGAGAAAATATAGCAAGAGTAACATGCAAGAAGATTGCAGAAATAAAACAGAAATCTTCAGTACAGGAGCAGAATGTTCAGTATAGTTGAGGTAGTCCAAAGGGCATGATTACTATGCACAGAGAGAATGTGAGGCCATCACATCTTTGGAATGAGATCAGATTTTTATGAAAAGAAAATAATAGACCTTAGAAATGAACATCTGGTCATTTAAATTAATTTCTATAGTAGTAAACCTATCCAACTGGACTATATACAAAATGGACACAAATCAGGAAAGAATTGGTGAGTTGGAAGAGCAATTTAATTATTTTATAAAAATATAGCCCTCTAAGGGATTAAAAAATTAAAAGCTGTGAGAGAACAGTTGGGGATCATGGAAAATAGATCCAGAAGTTCCTGCTTGCCTTGCAGAGGGATTTAGAGGAGGAGAGAGTAGCTAGAAATAAGTAAAACTTAATATGCACCTCCACCCAAGAAGAAGAGAAAAATTCCTAAAGCTAACAGAAGTTAAATGTTTCAGATTAAAAGGACCCATTAAGTACTAAATATGAGTGAAAAGACATACATGTAAAAACACTGTTTAGAAATTTCAAAATGTCAAAATAGAGTAAACCCTGAAAGCTTCCACATAGTAAAAACAGACCAAGAATTGTAGTGACAGTAAACATCAACCACATTGGAGACTTGAAAACAAAATGCCAAATGTCTTCTAGAGTCTGTGGGAGCCCTTTCTAGTCTGTTGTTACAGATTCCAGGGTAGTTAAGCAGATAGAACTGCAAGAGCGGTGGTGCAGGATCTCAGGAATTTAAGACATGGTAGAAAACATGAAATTTCTCTATCTCCATTTCCCACCTCTGCTTATCTATTGCAGTTTTTTTTTTTTTTTTGCTAAGACTCTGAGAACATGCCTCATTAACAGATCCAAAGTTTTTATCCTCTTTTAAGACAGCAGCCAGACTGAACTGAAATTTTTTACCATAATTTCTGATTCCGATGTTAATTTGTCAGGCCAACTAATGTTTGATGATCTCATTCCTAGACCAATCAGCTGATCCATAGTGTAGGACAAACAGGTTTGCTTATGACTGTCCTTCTGAGGCCAAATGCCTGGAAGATTAGACTAGGTATCAGAGAAAGGTTTCTGAGTAGAGAAACTGGGAAGAAAAACCAAGTATGCCTGTGCTACTATTATCTTTTAATATTTTCAGAGAAAAAATTCAGAAAGCAAACAAATTAGAAGCTATAAAATAATTGGACCCCTGATGATATAGGATTAAAGTCTACAAAAAGAAAAACAAACCAGAGAATTTCTATGTAAGTGTCCCTAGCTTCAGTTCATAAAACTGTTAAGCCATTGTGAAAAATTTAACTACTAAAATACCTAAAAATCTGCAGCTCCCCCCAGCATAAAAACAAAACAAAACAAAACAAAAACACAACAAAGCAGTTTACATCAGTTCCTCTGACAAAGCAGAGTACCTTTATTCTGAGTTACCACTGAATCTTTTCTCTCTCTGTAGTCGGTCACTCAGATGCTTATGGCTTACCTGTCCCGCCTTTCAGTTATTGCTGGCAACAAGATCAATTGTGGACCTGCCCTCACTTGGATGGAGGTACTACTTAATTCCATTTAATTTGATTTTTAAGATTTATTTTAAAGTTATGTACTTAAACAATTTAATTTTGATAGTTATTGCATTTCAGTTATCAAAGAAATGAAGGATGGAAATGTGACACATAAAATAATTTTTAAAATCTCAGGTCTGTTTTTCTTTGTAGGAAACACTCAGTTATTTGTGAACAAGAAACAATTAACTTTTTAAAGGACCTGGTTTAAGAATTAAGTCTCGGGTAACATAGTAGCTGGTAAATATGCTAGATATTCTTAATTTGTAGAGTTATGTTATTCTCACCATCCAGGTGAAATAGTGAAGACAGGATGGAAAGCAGAAAGAATAAAGATTTTTAGAACAAGGAAATCTTCCGTTGAGATCTTGATTCTTGCATTACTGGCTGTGAGATCTTGGGCAGATTACTTAATCTCTCATAAATTACATACCTTTTTTTAGCCTTAGAATCTTTGTTTTTAAATGATAAGTATCTTTTAGAGTTATGAGATGAAATCATATATGTGATATGCACAGCATAATGATTGGCACATATTACTAAGTAATTGATAAAAGGTGGTTTAAAGAAAGTCTTTGGATTATATTCTCTCTAAAACACATTGAAGTACCTTTTATAGGTAGTCACAGAATTTTTGTATGGCCCGTGTCTTTAGCTGTCTCTCGGTACATTCTCTTTCAGATTGATAATAAGGGAAATCACCTTCTAGTCCATGAGGAGTCATCCATTAACACTCCTGCCGTTGGTGCTGCCCATGTTATTAAGAGGTACACTGCTCGGGCTCCTGATGAATTGACCTTAGAGGTAAACAGCTAAAGACTGCTATGTGTTAGGCTGGTCCTTGCTACCTTTTCAGCCTCATATTTCATTGTTTTTAATTACTTCTGTTGTTATAAGCACCAGGTTTTTCATATTCCTACTATTTTTCATTCTGAAATGCCATTTACTACTGTACTTGTTTTTGAAAATTATGCTGAAATAGCTCGTATTTCTTGTAGGAAGTCCTTCTTGATTTCCTCTGTTTTGCATGCTAATACATGGCTCCCCACATGTATTAAATGTCATTCTGAACCATTCTCATGGCTTATCATTGACATATCACTGTATGCAGTGATGATTATTCTCCTTTTTGTCTTTGTGAACTTTTCAAAGTCAGGTTTCAGTCTTTTGTCTTGTCTGTTTTAGTAACGCAATTATAGCCAATAATGCTTTCTTCTAATTGTTTGTTCAAAGATGAATTAAAGAATAGACAAAAAGCAAAATGAACATTTCTTACAATGCAAAAGAAGGGGAATTAAATTTCCTCCTTTAATACTGATTAATGAGAGACAAAAATGCTGACTATTCAAGAAAAGACAGTGTAAATTTTTTTATTATATAGAATTTGAACTTTTCTCAAGCTGAAATAGTTAGGTTCTATCACAAAGGATGTAGTTCTTGAAAGAAATCAAGACTTAATAAATAATGGCTTCATGAAGAGTATTCACTCATGATTTAGTAAGTTATGAATATACACAGAAAAATTCTTAAATATTTAATTACAATAAGTAGTATGAAGATGACTTTAAAGATCACCACTTATTTTGAATGAAGAATATAACTCCGTTATCTATTTTTGGTATTTATATCTATGATTTTGTTCATATTTGTATAAGTATTTTGTCATTTAGAATGTAAAAAGAAAGCAATGTAGTGGATATAGAACCATCTATCAAAAGATATATATTTATTATCAAATTTTATATTACTAAGTAAATGTAAAACTTCTAATTAAGTTGTAGGTATCTTTCCTATTTGATTAAAAGAGAGGACAGCACTCAGTACAGAGCTAAGGTGTGGTTAGTCCTCTCTAAATGAGGTGTAAATAGATCTTTTGTTCTAAATATTAGTATTTAAAATTTGTAACACTTTCACTAACAGTATTTTAACGGAAGTGGTGATCACAGCTATGTAGAGCATTTAAAGCCTTATGCTATAAATTTTTCTGAAGTTACTACATGTGTTCATTTCATTAGATCACAGTCTTTGTGTTGACCTTTTCTTGATAATGTACTATTATTTAGTTCGTTAAAGAAATATGTGTTTTCCAGAAGTAGTCAGTGAAAAAGATAGTACCTAGCCTCCTTATTACAATCAGATATAAATTTTGTACATAACTGTTGGTTAAAATTTGACTAAAAACATTTCATTTTTTGCCTCCTAGGTGGGAGACATTGTTTCTGTTATTGACATGCCCCCTAAAGTGTTGAGCACCTGGTGGAGAGGCAAGCATGGATTTCAGGTAGGCAACAAGAATGAAATGCAGGAAAGGTTGAAAAAACTGTTTTTATGTTTTAGTATCATACCTTTTAAAAACATTTTACAGCATATATTGGCTATAATATTTTTTTTAAATCAGAAGTTTTGTCTTTAGTAATGGAAAAATGGACATAGCATTAGGCTTGAATTACCTTTTCTGGTAACTGCTGTGGTGGTTTTATTATTACTTTCCTGCTCCCGATATGGATATAGTGAGTGAGCAAAGTCTTGGACTTGATGTCTACTTTTTGACTATCAGGCTTGACTCTGCTTTATTTTTAATACTGGTTTTAAGTCATGATTCACATTATTTAATTTACATCATCAGGTTTACTGAAAGGATATTTCATATATCATAGCATTTTTTGTAGAAAGAATTCAGATGATTATCGTAACTGAAATTGTTGCTGTACTATGGTATATGTTTCCCACTTAAAAGTAGATGGTTAGTGCATGGAAAGTAAACTTTCATGACATTTTTGAAGCCCTCAGTATTAATATAGTTAATAAAAATGAAAAAGTTTAAAAAATGAGTCATATCGTTTCTCTTTAAAATTAATTCAATATTATTCTTTAAAATGCATTATTAACTAATAATGTGCTAAAATGTAGAGCAACAGAATTTAAAGCAGTATTATTTCTTTTTCCATATATGACTAAATATTTGATACTGGATAATGGCATCTTTTAGATTGAGTAGCACCAATTTCCATATGCTAGATGGGTACAGGTTTTCCTTCATCTTTTTTTTTTTTTTTAAGATTTATTTATTTTTTGCATACAGAACTAGGGTACAGGCCAGAGGTGCAGGGGCAGTGAGAGGATTCACCAGAGACAGAGTGGGGAGTAGAACAGGCAGATGGATGAAGTACACTGCTGAGGGGAACTGCACCATGTGGGTCACCTCTGGGGCAGGCAGGGATCGAGCTCATGTTGAAGTCGCTTTAGCTTCTTAGTACTGTGCTTTAACCCACTGTACTACCAGGGAGGGACTTTCCTTCATCTTTTAAAACTACCAATAGAAGAATATCTGAAAATGTCTTAAAATTGTATCCTTAATATGTAACTTGTGGTATTGTGATCTGCTTGTGTTAAGGTGTTTCTAAAATGTTATATAAATAAAATGCTGGTGGTACTTAGTGAGAAATATTAAGTATTATATAAATACTTTGAGCTTTAACTACATATCAGTTAATCAATTATTAGGTTTTTATAAGTTGTATTTTACTTAAAAATAATCACCCAATTTAAACCAGTATAATGTGGTGGCTAAGAGCATAGGCTGTAGTGTCAGATTGCCTGGGTTTTTAATGTTGGGTTAGCCCTTGCCTCAGGGGCTCATTTATAAGATGGAGATTGTAGGACTGTCTTTACAAGGTTATCATGAAGATCAAATGTATGAGAATAATATATATACAATAGTTAGGCCAAGCCTCATGCATAATTTTCATTCAGTAAATGTTGATTTTATTAAATTTAAATAATCTTGTTTTTTATTTTGTAAATTTAATTTTAACTTTTCCATTTTCTATTAAAATTATCTATTGCAATTTATTATACCCATATTATCCTGCAAATGTTCTTGTCTCTATATTTTCATTTCTTCTTAACTGCTATGAATAATAGGTGCTTTCAATAAAATACAAAGCGAAATAGAAGACTGGGGTTGTCATTTTTCAGATTAAGAGGTCAGTTTTCCATGGTTGTGGAAATGATGATCAAAAAATAAGTTTGGCTTTAAAATGTTTTAGATCTTAATATTGCTGCCTTATAATCTTAGACAAGTCATTTGCTTTTCTTGGCAGGTAGTTTCTCTCTAGTCATTGTTAACATTTTAATTTTATGACTATAAGGGTGGGAGCAGATTTGCCCTTCTTTCATGTAACAAATATTTACTGTACCAGGTATAGATTTATCTACCAAACTTTTCTAGAGGCAGCAATTAGTTTATGGCCTAAACAAAATCTTTTAGAAGTTAGTGTAGATTAATTAGTTAAAAATTAATTGCCAAGCAAAATTACTTGAAAAACAGGCTTTGAAACTTTGAGGATTTATTTGTAACTGCTAGTGAAGAGTTTTTCATAAAAGTACTCTTTTTCATCCAGATTGGTCTAGGAGAGGCAATTCTGTCTGTTTAGATCATGTTGGAGTTACAGGAGGAATTGATTTGAGGTGCCTTTGGAGCACCCATGAAGCCAGGAGAGGACCTTTAAATGTCACTGTCAAAGACTTTATTGAAAAATGGAATCCTGTACTTTAAGGAAAGAGTCTACATAACTTATTTTTCCTTGCTGTTTGTAGATGCACCACACGGTGTATTGCAGGGGGGGTAGGTGATCGGGAAGGCATGGACGGAACATCTGTATACTCTGGTTGTTGCTGGGCACTTTTTACAGTGTTTTCTTTAAACTTCCCAAATCTTCAAGACAGTTGTCACCCCCCATCTTATGGAGAGGGACCATTTTTGAGACGGTAAAACAGCCAAGATGCCTGGTCAGTAAGTGCAGCGACCCAGATTCATGTCTGCCTGATCACGTTGCCTGAACAGCACTCAACATAGATGGTTTCTGTACTTACTCTCCTATTATTAATTTTGTCCAGAGGAGTTTTCTACTTTCCTTCCCAGACAGTAAGTGTATGGTAAAGATAACCACCTGTGGCCTGCAGAGCATACAGGTTTACTGTTACCAGACTTTACATTGTTACGTTGTGATAATTTGTGTATTGTATCTAGGAAAAAACTCCTTGTTAGGCTAGTTAGGCTATTGGTGATGTTTTCAATTACTGTTAGATATTTTTAAATTATGAGCATATGCCCATCCTTTAAATATTCTGTTGAGAAAGGAAATAATCATAATTTATTCTATGTATATGATATTATGGATGGGTCCCTTTAAGATCCTGATCGTTAAGTTTCAATAGCTGGAATGATTGAGTTGTTTTCATACTTTTTTTTAAAAACTCAGTGAAATTGTTAAACAGAATCTTGCATAGAAGCTAAATATGAAGAGGTAGCATTGCTGTGAGTTTAAGGCAAGTGCTTGGACGCAGGCCCTGTGAACAGCCAGGTGGCACCCGCAGGCCTCCTGCAATATCCCAGAGGGACCTCAGTACAGTGGTCTAAGTACCACTGCTGGGAGATCTCGGATTCAAGTTAGTAGTAGACTTTCACTTATGTGATGGATATTTTGCATCACAGGCCATTCTTATCATTGTGATTTTTAGAAATATTAGGGAAACTTACTCTCTATAAGAATACCTTTTATGTGACTCCTTTTAGAGGGGTTATTAAATTTTTTAGCTTTTCTAATATAAATTTTGCAGAATTCCTGTTGTTGCATGTATTCTGGTATAGATGGATAATATACATTTAGACTGTGAGTAACAGTACTTTCATTGCCTTTTTTTCTATTATTGAATATGGCTGTTCCTAAGTTTAATCTATTCCTTTGTTTATTTGATGCCCATTCCATGTTAGGTCTACCATAACAATACTACTGGGTTATCTAGTCAAAAGAAATTTATTTCTCACAGTTCTAGAAGTACAAGATAGAGGTGCTGCCATAATTGCTTTTTCTGAGGCCACTCAGCTCATTTTGCAGATGGCTATCTTTTTACAGTGTCATCAAGTGGTCTTTTCTCTGGTCTTTGTCTCTCTGTCCTAGTCTTCTCTCAGCAGCCAGGTTATCTTAGGTATATATAACCTCAGATAGGTATATATAATCTCAGATAACTGTAATTGCCTCCTCAAGATCCAGCTTGATAGAGTTACCTTCTGAGATACAGAGGATCAGCAGCTTAGCATTTGAGTATCTGGAAGATACAGTTCAGTCCATAAGAGTATAAACCAGTCCTGGATGGTGAGGTAGGTAAGTCCACATTTAGGGGTGGTTTAGGCTCTTTAGGGGCTCTCTTACACAGACTTGACTGGGAGCCTCTCCAGAGCCAGGATGGCCTCCATGCCAAGGGCAGGTAAAGCTTTGGACCCTTGGCCACAACTGCTTAATAGCATGAGGGCCTGAGAAGAAAAGAGTTTTGGGAATGAATGCTCTATGGGTACCCTGTCCTCTCTGCTGTCCTCAGGAGAAAGTGTGGGACAGCTTCTGAGAAGGAACACCCCTCATACTCACAGGCGCTGAGAGGACTCTTTTGTCATTTGTGGCAGCGAGCCCTCTAAGCATTGTGCACCTTCCCTGAGGCAGGGCACAGAACATAGGCAGGTCTTAGTGTTGGGTGAGGGGAGGGCATGGTTCAGAGTCAAGCAGGACTCCCTGAGAGGTAGAGGGAGAGCTCTGGCACAGGGAATTTGGGGCATAAAGTCTTGTGTGTGATTGTCTTCTGAGAAGAGGATGTCCCCTGATGACCTGGGCCAGAGGATAGTCTTGGAATGTCATGGTCATTGTCTAGCCAGCTTGGCTGGCCCTGGTCACAAAGATGGACTTTGTAAACTGGGCTCTGTCAGTGGTTCCTGAAGGATGAAACAGAGGCAGGAGGTGTGTCTGCCTGATAATGTAGGAGAGGAAGGAGACTTGAGGTGACATGGACAGAGGTCTCCCTTGGTTTAAGACCATTTAGATCTGAGCATTCTCTGGAGAGAGAGTAAAGGGAGCAAGGTGTGGCTGTTATTTCTCAGCATGGAAATTACCACACTACTGGGGTACCACAGTATCCTGGTTGGAACACGCTGGGGAGCTTTCTGGAAAGGTGATGTTGGGTACACCATGTCCCGGGTCTCCTCTCTTGCAGGTCTGCTTACCTTGTGTGTTAGTGTTGTATTATGTGAGCTCTCCTTTTTTCTTTCATCATAGTCACATGTATGCTTGTTGTCTTCTTCCCAGCCAGCTATCTCAGTACAGAACAAAGGTTCAGATCTCAGTGTGGCAGCCTTTTCTTTATATTGCTGTGAACTGATGCTGGGTAGTTGCTTGGTGTAGTGACTTTTATTATTATTAAAAAATAATCAGTAGACCTTATTTTTTAGTT